TCTGTTGCACGTGGGCTTTTCAGAGACCGCACGTCAGAGGCCGTATGTAGCAACGACGTGTTCGTCAGAGACACAGTAGATAAGAGGCCATCCGATAGAGACCGGTTCGGGAAAGCATCAGGTGGGGAGAATTTTGAATTTTTTTTTGAAAATTTCGAAAATTTTCGAAAAATCCAAAAATGCTGGAAATTATCCAAAACGCGCACGAAACACAAAATGTTTGAAAAATTTCACATTCAAATTTTTTTCGAATTTTTCAAATTTTTTTGGTTTTGTGCGCTTTTCAGACAGTTTCCAGCAGTTTTTGATTTTCGAAAATTTTGAAATTTTTTTCACAAGTCACCCGAAGGAATGCATGCCAGCCTCGGTGAATGCCTCACCCCGTCTATGCCGGACTCGGGGTCTATCTCACCCGGTTGCTGACTGCTTCGGTGTCTCCATCAAGAAGCCTCTGCAGGACTGGGTGTGTGACCGACCGTGTCCCTGTCCGTCTCGGTCTTTGCCTTATGTGGTGTCTTCCGCACCTGAGCTTTTCAGACCGTGTCAGGCACAGACCACGTTCGTCAGACACAGTATATTAGAAACAGTCCGACACAGACCGGTTCTGCAAGGCATCAGGTGGAGAGAATTATAAAAATAAAAAATGAAAATTTACAAAAAATAAAAAAAATGCTGGAAATTTTCCAAGGAGCATACAAATTTTTTATTTTGAAAAATTCCACTTTAAGTTTTTCTTCATATTTTTTTAAAAAAATAGTGCGCTTTTCAGACAATTTCAAGCATTTTTTGATTTTTCGAAAAATTTAAACTTTTTTCAAAACTTTCCCCAAGTGATGCATGTCAGCCTCGGTGAATGCTTATGAAGAGACATCGCATTCTGTGCCACTAAGAGATTAAATAATCAGCTCAGTCCACAACAGATCGTTGCTACGACTGTTTTGGCCAGACCTGTATTCTAGTGTACCTGATCTCCTTCAGCACAGACGAATCAAACTTGGGTCTTGAAATTAGGCCAGAACATCAATTATTCTAAGGGAAACCTGAGACGGTTGAAATGAAAATGAAAGAGAACATGGAAGTTTGAGAAAGGGCGAACGGCATGAAGCTGTTATATTTCCGCAGAAATCTTTTTTGAGTTGCATGACACGCGTCTCAGCCTGCTATCGGCGGGAAGCAAAACTTTCATAGACAAGGGAAGTACAACGGACGTAAAGTTTCAGTATTTTGCATAAAAGAATTATTCCTTCAGAAGCCGATTTCAAATTATGTTAACATCGTGAAAAATAGAGAAGAATAAATGAAGCCAAGATTTAGTTATACAGCAACCATCCCTAATATTATGTTCTGGTATAACTTTCATAGACTTCTCTATACGATGGAAACCAATTTTTATATTTTCCAAGGAAAGGATGCTTTTAGTTAAGACCAATATTACTAGAGGTCTGGGGAAACTGTCATTTGTAAGCAGTGGTTTCCTCAGAATTATATTACCTTGGTTTTCCCTCGTCTTGACCTCAGATGAATAATTCTTGCAAAGGAGTGAACGGTCTAGGATTATGAAAGTTTTTTACATATTATTTAGTAGAATTTCAGATTTTCACAGCAGTGAGTACGTACATGGCTGTCTTCTGGATTGTAGAGCTCTGTTATCTGGTATAAGTTATCGACGTTTCAGAGGTTGTCTCCATCATCAGGGGGATAAGTGATGCCCTGATGAGGAGAAAGCAAGGACCTCTGAAACGTCGGTAAACGTCTACCAGATTAGGTGGCGCTACAACCCAGAAGAAAGTCATCTTCCCCTCGTCTGAGGATCCAGTCACATCAGAACCTTGAAGATGGAGGACAGAGTTTATTCCTGAAACGTCGGTTTACTACGGTAACCAGTTAACGCGGCTGATTGCCCGAGAAGATTTTATTGATAGTATTAGCCGCGAAAGTCTCAAATCCTATACATATATTATTACTCGCATAAACAGAAGTTTCATCAAACGTGTTGCAGTTAAAGTCAATCAACGCCCTTAAACCTTACAAAATTTAAATAATATGGTACAAGTGTACCTAAATATATCTTGCCAACAGAGATAGGTCCATCACTTTTTTTCGCTGTTGCGTTTAAGCAGAGGAACTCGTAACATGGGAAGTTAGACTTTGCTTTCAGAATACTAATGTTCATGTTGCTGGATATTACGACAAGAGGCTCTGAGTACAGTTGACATAATATGTTGAATCTATGCTACAGCCCAAAAGAAAATTGTATCGTAAATGATGCTTAATAAACTCTACACAGTAGAAAACAAAACGTTTGCTTACATTTACATTACGTTACAGCTCCTTTAAACACAACACCATTTTGCACTTAACCTCAAGTCAACAGTAATCAACTATCATAAATCAGTGCTACCAACCCAGACAAAATTAACGATATTGGCAATCTCTGCATGTTGTAGACTTTCGAGTATTTATCTACGGCATTTAAACCTAAGATATTATTAATACACCCAGAAATTATTTCCGGTTTAATTTTGGGACCTAATTAAAACCAGAAACTAAAAATTAATAATAACGCTATCTGTTATCAAGAGCGTCTTGTCATCTCAAGGGAATCAATTCTAAAGGCAGGCATGATAACTACTGTACTTGGAGTGAAGGTATAATCTTAATATTTATTAATAGTAAATGGTCTTATATTTTTAAGTAATCATTAACAATAATTACCACACAGTAATCACAATCATCACTAAAATGACACTTTTCACCCTACAGGAAGGGTGTCAGAACTGAAGGGAGGAAGAGACAGCGCTTTGGGCAAACAGGATGTACGTTTATATAATAGATGCAGTCAGTAATTTTCTTCGGGAAATGTGATTACTATACATTTTCTTGAGACCACCACTGTCAATGGTAATTGCCACGTTTAATTTGCTGAATAGTCACAGAGTATCATCGCGCGTTGCGTTGTGTTCATTACTAGTATGTGTTAAATCGACAACCACGCGCGAATGTCTCTCATCGATAGCTGCAGAATTATCGCACTTAATAAAAACCACTACTAGCTTGTAGGATAGTGTGCTGAATTCTGAGTCCAATATGCGTTGTTTGTTTATACACAGTTCTCATGGTTCGTTTATGATTTTTACAAAATATTTCGGGAGTTATCCATCCATAATATTCCAGGCCATAAAAGTCGAATAAAAAAGGAGATTTCGTGAGCTCACATTTACCATTTACTTAGTGTTGGCACTGTAACGGGGTTAAATGACAATGTATTTATTCAGATTTTGAGACTATTTTTATATAATAAACACGACAGAGTAATGTTAGAAAACGTAAGATCGGTTCTTGGAAAAGAAGTCACTTTCAGGATGCAATTGTCGTGTGCTGCAAGCCTTTTTTAATGTATGGTATTTTTGTCGTATTTACACAAAGGGGTATTTCGAAATACTTTCGTACATTCGAATTTGTTTTTCTTAGGTACCAATATAAACAAATACATCGTATTTTCACACAGTTTCATGTGCTATGCTTTTCAGTCTGTGTCTTGGTATTAAAATGTCCACACTAAGACGTACATAAACGCATAGTTGTTATGAACACAACACGTACTGTAGAACAGAAATAACCACGGCGTTTGAATCCGTATTATAGCAGTGCACTGTTACCCATATTAATTAAGTCTTTTCTTTGAATAAAATATTTTATAAATAAAAACTGGTAACGGAAAATTAACATAGCGCTTACACTTAGACTAGATGTGTTATATGTCATATTTACACTTCTTTAAAAATACTTCTTTTGCAACTCTTAAACGTAAAACACCCTATTCCGGAGAAAAACAGCAAAGACGTTTTCAAATAATATTTATCTTTCAAAATTTCGTTATCAAATAACGAAATATTTTTGGATATAGGCCTTCAATTAACACTCCAAGGTATACAACTTTTTAATATTCATGAGCAAAGCGGCCATATTGTTTGTTTCTAAGCTTTTACCTGAAATGTCCGTCTGTTGGCCTCACGTCAATATTTTCAACACCTTTCAATCATGAACGTCACATATCCGCAACTTACACGCCCAGTACAGTTTTCCTAACTCCTAATCTGAAAACGTACAACTCAGAACAATATTTTAACAGGCAGATTGTAAAACGCAAACACGATATTTACTTAAATCTTCATAGTATTATTTGACGTGGCTTTAGCTTGCATTCAAATCTTCTTACACGAAACAATTACCTTGTACTTCTTAAAATAACTGGTAATAACTAAACAAAATGCCTGTTTGAGTCTATAATTTTCTCAGACCCTCCCAAATCAGATACTAATTCCCTGAAGGAAATTTAAAAGCATCAAAGTAACTTATTTTAAGTAATTTAACCACTAGAATTAAAATACCGAGTGAATATATCTAAAAATCTATGCAATATCCCACCGGAATTTAATGAAAGAATAAATCCATGAAATTAACTCTAACCGAATCACAGTGTGACATTATTAAGGATAAGTTCAGTTATGATGACAACACAGTCACTGAAAAAATCAATTAAAATAAATTTATAAAAAATTCACCAACATGCTGTTAATAATTTAATAGGTTTGACGCGTTTTCATTTCACTAAGAACCCACAGACTTATACGAAATCTTTAAACGAACTGCTTCCAGATAATCTTATCAGACGTCAACGGATGAGTACATAAACAACTTATTTTCATAAAGCTCACTACAGAAGAGAGGAAAACTGTAAAGTCACAAAACCTACATACCTTAATATTCATTCGTACGTCAGACAGTCTCACTACATTCACCGATTTATTACATTATCCAATTTTATTCCTCCCTGGTTGGGGTCGCACGACGTTTCGGCCTATGTGCCGGTCCAAACGAGTGCGTGGCCAGCCAGCCCAAGAAGAATCACTGCTATGGCAGCAGTTCTTGGCGGAAGGCAGGCGCTAAGCCCAAGACCCGCGGACAGATGGCTCCACCAGCGCCCGGGGATTGGCGAAGCAGCATTCTTCCCTCGTTGCATTGCAGCCGGATGTTCCCCTGATATACAAAAGATTTGCTTCTAAATTTGACACACAGAGAGATAGGGATACTTCACCTCCTGACAATGCTAGACTATTACAAGTGTATTACGCGCCGGATTACACACAATAACCTCGAGCGTTCCTAGAAACACGCACTTAGAGACACCACAGACGCCTTGTTCTATAGTTCCCACGTTGGCCACCCGATCGCAGCTCCTTAATGTCTACTTCACCACTCCCTGTACCGCCATTTTGTTATCAAAGCTCTTAGAGTATTCGGAAGTAGGAACTTAGATCGTTGAAAATAACACAACTTCTATATTAAATTTTATACAAATCTGCCTCTCTTCGTGAATCGTATAGTCTGTCACCACAATCTTGCTTGTATCTCAGCGTTAATGGCTGAAAAAACATTTTTCTCTCAAACCACTTGAAAATTGCTTAGAAGTTTCGTGGATTTCACTGTCTGTTGTTTAACTATTGCAACGCACTGTACCACACATCATACAGATGAGAATATAAACGTTTGTATAAAGCTCACGGAACAGTGGTAGTCCGCGGACCACACCTTGGAAACCTCTGCTCTATATCACTCGGAGCGTATGTCATCCTCTTTCTGTCCTTCTCTGTGCCACTAGTTTGTGCAAGTCGCCATGCATTAAGAAATATTGCGAGTCTAAGAAAGCAAATATAGAAATAAAAAAATAATATTACATGGAATCGATAAGTAAAAATTTTTAACAGTAACTATATTATTCATGTGCATTCAACAATATTAAACGCATAATAATTTAAAGTTTTCAATATCCAAAACGGGCGATACATTAAGCTACAAAAAATACTATTGCTCATGACCTAAAGAACAACTCAAAATTTTTGAGAACATTTCAAGAGAATTATTAATGTCTTGGTGCATTAATAAGTGCGTAACTTACGTTGGTACTCGAATGCTAGGCTTTCGCTTTGGTAAGAATGATGATAATGATTAGGTTTAATTTTTTTACTGTAACATGCTAACAAAATAATTACGGGAGTCAATTACAGAGCCACTACAACGAGATAAAATAAATACAAATTACGGAAAACCATAAAAACAATTTAAAAACAAAAATAAATATATGTAATCAGTTTAAAAACTTATTCTTATCGGGAATGTGTCTTCAGAGGACACGTTGTTTCTGCCAAAAATATGTCAAGAAAAACCTGCGTATGTCATTTGCATCATTGACGGATCTAACTTAAGGATTATGTCTTAATGCACTGCTCACGCTCAAAGTAGAAAATTTTCTTACTTACCGTCTAGGCACACGAACACCATTAGCGTCCATGATGGAATGGCAATTTACTTTGTCCTTGAAGACAACAATAAGAAATAAAACATCGAGATGTTGTGTGAAATAAATTTTTTATAGAATTTGAACAATTCAAATTCAAATCATATTTACACAACATGTCGAACTAAAAAAAAATGTAAATTTTCTTTGGTAATTATAACAGTAAAAACATCATCATCATAACGTGCTGATTGTGCCGAGAGACGCCATCTCAAGATGCCAACTACACACTTACTTATTAATTACAAACTTCCTAAATTGTCTTGACACTAGCATTATGTCTTCTAGCGAGATGTAAGGGCTAAAGAATGCACAAGTCCCGCCTAGGCTGACTAAGTTACAACGTGGCTGTCGCGTTAGATTAAAACAAGCACATTTCAAACTCACAGCCACTTCTAAAGTGGCAAAGAAGTTTCTATAGCACGTTCATATGATGTTTCAAATTATTACATCGCTTTAGTGATCTAGTTAATACTAGAAACATCAAACTTATCCAGGCTGGATGGGAGTAAAGTCGCTATGAATTCAAATTTACGCTCCAGGCCTTCAAATCTTGCTTTTAATTTAACTCGTATGCAATTCCTTTTACACAGTTAACTTGGACAGTATATATTGTGCACAGCTTTATACTTGAAACAGACTTATAAGTTGCATTTGTTGAACTTCAATGAAGTTTATTTGATCCATATCTGTCTTGATTAAATTATTCACTTCATTTCGTAGTCATTCTTTCAAATAACCAACTCCGTGAAAAGTTAACCACTCGCTCAATATATCAAGAAATATCTTGCCTTTTAAGGAATCTGTCGGTTAATTAACAAATTCAGAAAACAATACCATTTATAACTTTCCAGAGGCAGATAAATCCATTTGAAATCCTCACATAATATTTATTTAAGATGTGGTCCTCTAAGCAGCCTCTTCAGTTTCCGACTAGCATATTCTGTCCATTTATAATCTCTCCAATGCGTGCTGTGGTCTCCGCTCATCTTGGTAGCAATCGTAAGTTGTGAAGCTTTTCGTGGTTCAACTTCGAGGAACGTATAACTATTCTAAACTTCTCATAAGCCTCACATATATCGAAAAGGAAATAAGATTCCCAGTTTCTTTTGTGGGTGAAAGAGATCGCATAAGTAACCAGCACGTTATAATACGTAATATTAAAACAAATATAAATTTAGGAGTGAATTATTCTGACTTCTAAGAATAAGCTGACAGAACTGACCCAGTTATGACCTTTGTACTTGCATTTTTATCACACCACCTTTCAATTAGTTTTACAATAATTCTCTTTATAGGGGACGGTTCTGATAGCATTCGACTGTAATCTGTTTCCATAAATATATATCCAGTCTTCTCTGAATTCTTGGATTTTATTTCATCGTTAATTAAACATGTTTCATTTTTTTGAAAAGTCCTACTGCGCTGACGTTCGTGTCTAAAAATATTTCATTTTCAAAGCGTAATATGCCTACAGCGGTGTAGCATGAGAGAAATTTGAAGTATTATTAGAAAACATTTTAATACAAGTTTTTTTCCTTGTCATTCCTTGGGACTCAAGAAGGCAGTCCATTACATGATAGGCCGGCAGATGCGTGACATTCTGTCAGAATGTCTGGAAACATTGTATATGAGTATGACTAAATTGTTTTTCAACCCACCCCATCATCTGACGTGTTTCTGTCTCCATCATTTTATATTTTATTTCACTTTGCTTTCGTCTGAATCTTGTTCGTGTTCCTCCTTCTTTTATTTTTAATATTTACTTCCCCGCCCGGACTCGTTTGTATCTTTGTGTCTGGAGATTTATTTGATCTCACGTGTGTTTGATTCATTTGCATTGTTTATTTAGAATATTTATTCCTCTACACAGATTTATTCTTTCCCTTTGTTAGACAAACGTTTTTGTGTATATTTACTCCATCAACTTTTTCAATTCGTTACTTGCATTTTCTTTAGTCTATTTCTTATATTACATCCTTTGTTTCACTGTAGTTCCTTTTGCTACTCGTTCAAACACGTCAGCAACTCGCGATCCCATAAAACCGTATTACACGTTCGGTATTATAAGAATTATATAAATTAAGAAAATATCTGGCAATCAAAAAATGCTTTTTTCGAATAACAAAGAAAATCCATTTGCAACCAGACACTACTAAGTATGAACGTCTGGAATAGTTTCAATATTTATGCTTTTCTGATACTTCTTCGGAAAGGCAAGCAGACCATTGCAGGGCTTTCACGCATATAAAGGCATAATGACTTTCCAGCATGTCCTGCGCCGGATATGGACTCATTAAAAGAGCTCTGCCTCAGGGAAGAAAAGCCATATAAGAAATGTTTTTCAACTGTGTAGTAACCAGTGGTTGTAATGAAAGGCTTCGTAAACACCGTTCTTCGCCCTTTGAGAAGTATAACTACTGAAATGCGTTATAAAACATAAAAGTACTCGTATGAAACGAGAATGAGTTTAATATTTTCTAGAATTAAGCGATCTATCGCTTCTAATAAATATACCGTCTCTACGTCAGTAATGAAGATAAATACAATATCTACACTTTCACACGGAGATGCAACACCATAAGCCAAACACAGAATTCCTAAGTACGTCATCTCTTCAGGTTCCCACTTTAACAGTTGTTTTACGTATCTTAATTTTTCTATTCTTCGAGTGGGATCAGTCCAGTTGTGCCTTACCTGTATCGTCTATCCTTCTTTTAATTTCAACCACAGTTAACTGAACACGATTGTCTTCTAGGTTGTAACGCTGTGTAGTCTAGTACAAATTTACCGACGTTTCAGAGGTATTTAGTGCATCCGACATCAGGGCGGTAGGCAGGAAGTTCTTTTGAACCAGAATACACGGCGCTGTAAACCAAAAAACAGCCATCTTCGGACTCATCGCCGTCATACCACAGTCAAACTGTTTCTTATAAGGCCACTTCTTTTGGTACTTAGTAACCTCACTTCATCAACATGTCTCAGGAACACCATTCAGAAACCTGATCTCATTTTTATATCATTTTCTTTTATCGACAGCAATTTAAATTTACGTAACGGAATAATGTAATGACGCCATTATGTAGTAAATACGCCACTGACCTTAGACAAATCCGACGTCACTGGCGCCACTCGAAAAAGTCAAAGACCATATTTTGAGGGAAAAATCAGCGACCGATAGCTATATAAATTTATTTATCACAATATTCACGAATGGAGAATCCGGAATCAGAAAGACTCAAGACGCCAGGATTGATATACTACGCATACATTTTGTAACGAGTCCACCCTTAACATCAAGTTGGAACTATATGTACCCCTTGCTTTATGTTGACGTAACTCTGTTGTTTGCATATTTCGCATGATAATTTCCTAACACATCATTAACCAGTTGACCTTCGCGGTACGGACTAGATTTTTAAATGTTATACAGTACAGCGTCTTCTTCAAAGAGTTAAGTAAACATTTTTAAATTCCTCCTTTCCAGTTTTGTTAGTTTCGATTGTTCCCCGTTGAATCGATGGTTTCACAGGAATAACGTACTAAGTATGACACTTACCATTGAGCACGTGCAGAAGCACAGACGCGGAGTCGAGGTTTGATGGACTGCACGTGTAATTTCCCGAGTCCTCCCGTCGCCCGTCGTAGATGATCAGTGTACCAATAGTTGTGTCAGGACCCACTCGTTCCATCCTGATGTCTTTGGTGCTGGGATCGTAGTTGAGGACTCGCTCGTTGTCGTGGTACCAGAATATATAAGCTGGCTCCTCCAGAGACTGTGTAATTACGCACTTCAGGTTCACAGTGCTTCCGGTCTTTACATAGATGTCAGACTCACCCATGATCTCAATTTTCGGCACTGCAAGCGAGAAAGTGGTTGTTATAAACATTTTATTTTTTATTATTATTAGTGTTCTGTCTGACGACAGGTCCATATGAACAGGATCCTTCCATCCTTTTCTCGGACTGGGACCTGTTCATATACGTTCTTGGCAGATGATCCAGAAGTGGTTTGCCATTGCCTTCTTCTGTGTGCGAATGGAGTAATTGTTGGGATGCCACGGAGAAACCGGGGAAGCCCCCGGAGGAAAACTCCGTGTTGCCTAGACCACGGCCTTGCCCAACACAAGTTATAAATTCGGGCACCGCCGGGAATCGAACCCGAGACCCCAGGATTACAAGGCCAGCGTTCTAACCGCAAGACCACCGTGGCGGTTTTATAAACATTACTGTATTATTTTAAACGATAAGGTGCATCAAGAAACATTTCCTTATTATAAACAAATACATATATAAACAAGAAATAATTGTAAATAAATGCAGCACTAGAGTCTTCTGGGCAGTAACGT